TGGATAATGACATGAATGAATGAAAATGAAATGTAATGGAAATTTTAGGGAAATTAATTCTACAACTTACAATTGAATGTGGCTGGAAAAGCAGAAGTTATGGAAGCAGTGAAATTTATTTCAATTAGTTTTTCAGATTTAAGAGAAAATGCTCACAAATTTCCGTGGAATAATAATTTTATTTTAAAAATGTGAACGTACGTTTAAGTAATTCAGAAATCTGGTTAGTTAATAATATGCTGTATGTTCAACACTCACTTATTTTTCTTTACAACTGCATAATTTTGAACTTCAAATATTGTTGAAAAAATAAAAGATTTCCGATATTACAAATATACTGGGATCACTTTCAACAGACACCATAATAAAATCACAACTTGCATATGAATTTTTATTAGAGCAATCATCAATTGACCTAGTAAAATTTAAATTTTTTCAGTTTTATAATAATATTGAAGTTAAAACTATATATTTTTCCAATTTTTAATTTATTTTATTCATTATTTTAAAACAAGATATTCAAGTTAAAAATAATTATAACTAAAAAATGTTTTATATTATTTAGTGGTTACATATTTTTTTAATTTTTTGAATTTTTGTGTTTTTCATATAGCAATTATTTCATCTAAATACAAATTAATTTAATATTATCTAAACATAATTTTATTTTATATATCGAAACTTTTTACAACAGAAGAGTTCTTTTTTTTTTATAGTCCATATTTAAATTTTATTTTTTTGATAAAAATTCTTATTTAGTACTTATATACCTTTATTATATGGTAAATATTAAAAATACATTCATTTTGAAATGTTAGAATATAATTAAATATGTTAATTATTAAAAAAGAAAAAATAAAGAAACAAAAATTAATGAAATTTATCATTCAATTTATATTTTTATGTTGTTTGAATGCATTAAAAACAAAATAATTTTATTATTATTTTTTAATTATCGTATTTTATTTCAAATTCCTTGTTATCTTATAAATAATATTAAGATATATCTTAATTTTTCAATATAAAATGATAAGAAAACAGTGTTTTATCTTCAAATTACTTATTCAATTAATAAGAAATCAATTTTAATAAAATATTTTCTTCAAATTCAAAACAAAAAAAAAATTAACTTGACATTATTAGAAAATTTTAAACTAAATAGTATTAACAATAAATATTGTCAACAAAATATTCATTTAAAAAATCAAAATTTTACAATTATTTTATGAATTAAATATTATAAAATCAATTACACAAATATTTACCAAATTATTTAAACCAAATCCAAATGATTAAGCATACAAAAATTGTACCATAACTTACAATATGGTACACCTGGTATATGATTTTCAATATTAATTACAAAATTCTTTGATAAAGCTTTTTCAAATTATTTTATAAAATTATTTTCATTACAGAGTGATTGGAAAATTGAATGATAAATTTTCTAATGCAAAATAAAAAATAAAAATAAAATTAAAAATATTATCAAGAATTATTATTTTTAGTATCAATAAATTGTTAATGTGGTATGTACTTCGTTTTTTAAATATATTTTTTGAATACAATTTAAATAAAATTATTGATCTAAATTACCAAATTCAGAGCATTAACTTACAATCTACAAAAAAAAAAAAGATAAAAATAAATTAGAAAATAAAAAAATTATTTAAAAAAGGGATTAAAAACACAATATAATTTTCTTTTTTCAAATAATTATGTATGGTTATTTTAAATGTTTGTGGTTTTTATTTATTAATAATAATAAATATAAAGTTAATAAAATTCATTTCAATCTGTTAATTAAAAATGGTATTTTAAGCTTTTTTTAAATGGTTTAATGATCATTACTTTTTTCGGATATCTTACTAATAATAATCGGATATCTTACTTTTTTATATAATATGATAACCTATTTGTTTAATTGAATTTCCCAAATTGTTGTCAAAATATTAACAGAAATTACAACTTTCAAAATTAAAGTATTTAAGTAATGATTAAAGTTTGTAAAGAGAAAAACGACACACGCAATACGGAACAATTTTTTTCACTCGAAAATTACATTGTATATAAATATTATGATAGTTACTCACTTTCTTCTCATTTATAGTGAGTAATAGTGAGATACACGATCACGCCTTAAATATGTATATGTATATAAAAGTATTGATTTTCTTGAATTTTCTAATTTGTAATTAATTTTCGTAATATTTATTTTTAAATTAAATAGTTTCATTATTACACATATATTTATTTCAATATTAATTACAATATTATTTTAAATTAAAATTTTAAAAATTATTAAATTCAAATAAAATTAATCTTTGAGGAACTTCAATAAACGAAAATATTCTTATTTAATTAAGATAAACTTTAAAAATAAATTTCTTGAATTAAAATGCTAATAATAAATGAACTTTTTTCTATTTCTACCAAAAAATAATAACTGTTTGATATTAAATAAGCATACAATTTTAACACTTCCATTAGCAGATTAATATGATCAGTAGTTTGTATGATAATTAAAAAAATTTATATTATAGCTCAATTTTTATTTACTAGTTAAAATGTTCTTAATAAAACATTATAACATTGAAACTGAATATAAATCAAAGAAAATATAACAAAAATTTTTAATTAAATTTTAATACTTTCTTAAATTAATTATATATTCTGTTAGTCGTATCATTTAAAGTGACATGGATTGTTCAAAAATGTTGTAATTGTTGGAATAAAATCAATTCCGAAATTATACTGGAAAACAAAATTCTTTTCAATAATACTTTATCACCTCAAGTGATGCGATTAACAAAATATGCGTTTATACTTTAAAATACCATTAAGATATTAAATTATTTTAAATTTAAAAGTTAATAAAATAATTATTTTTATTTTATGTTTATGGAAATTCATTCAAAAATTTCTCGCTCAATACTTTTAATTTAAATTAGAATTTGAAACTATTATGTCTACAAAAATAACTAATACAAAAATAAATTTTGAGTTTTACAAGATTTAAATCATGTAAAATTTAATTTACAATATTAAAAATAAAATTAAATTGAATATTTTAAACAATTTTACAAATTGAAATGAATTTATATTTTTATAATATTCTAATAATTAAATTTATTTAATAAATTATTATTAAATTATAATAATAGTTTTTTCATCTTGAGGATTAATTAATTTCAAGTTTTTTTTTTATAAATTAAATACAAAAAAAAATAAAATAATAATAATTATTATTTAAAAAAAAATTAAAACAAAAAATACTAAAATTAAAAATTACAAATATTAGTAGTAAATTAAGCCCTGCAATTTCGTTTTTAAGGCAATTATGTGAACTATTGTATTATGCATGCATGTTGTAATAGCCAAAATATTTTGTAGTTATGGATTTTTATATTTTTATTTTAATAATTTTTCATTAAATTGAGGTATATTTTCTATACATATAAAAAAAAAATTAATTTGTTTATTTAATTGTTTTTTTTTTTTTTTTATTTTATTTGTTTACTTATATATTTTCTTTCATTTTTTTTGTAAATTTATTTTTTCTTAATTCTATTACATTATTATTTTGTTTTTATATTTCCTTGAGGTAACAATGGTACAAATACTTGAATGTATATATGTGTACTATTTTATTTTATATAATAATTGTTATATGTAGTATATGAGGTATTATATAATTATAAAATAATTTTTAATATCATTTTATATTAATTGAAAAAAAAAGATGAAAGAAATAAATAAAAAATAAAGCAATTTTCTTTTTATTAATTTTAAAAATTTTATAATTTTTCTTCAATTATAAATTTAAATAATTATTTTATAATTATAAATAATTAAGACAAATATTTTGTTTTGATAGAAAATTTATATAATTTTAAAAAATAATAAAATCAAAATTACTTTGGTGTTATTTATTTCTTTTTATAATGTGTACAATGATTGTGTGTTAAATATAACCAGTTCTATTGCATAATTTTAACAAATTAGTTTTAGTTTTTTAATAAATATAATATTAATATTTTATATTTTAATTTAATAATAAAACATTAATAAAAATAAAAAAAATGTATATATATTTCTATTGCATTTAATTAACAAAACAAAAAAAAAAGGGGAAAACAAAAATGTTTGATGGGGACAATTATGTTAGTTCTATTTGTTGAGGGAGGGTTAAGGATATGAATGATGGAGGAGTATGTGTAGGTACCTAAGGCATTTTTGAAATTGAGTTATAATTTTATTTATTTTGTGTTTTATTTGTTTTTTTTTTTCAATATTTATTTTTTTAATTATATTATATATAAATATACCTGTATTTTGATCCTTATATTTAACAAGAAAACAAAATAATTAAAATATTAAGTTTAACTAATTGTTTTTTTGATTATTATTGAATGTGAAAATTGTATGTAATGTATATAATGTTATAATAAATATTATAATGGTAAACTGTAATGTGGTAACTGTAAAATTTTGTAAACCGGTCTATGGCAAAAAATTGCAGGTTTTTTGTTTTTATTTTATCTTATTTTTTTATAATTACATATATAAGTTTATAAATATATATATATATATATATATTTATAATTAATGTGTATATAATAATGTGTATCAAATTTTTAGCATATTATCTTATTTTTAAATATAAAATTATAATATATTTATAGCATCCTCTTTAATCGTAGCAGAATTTATAAATTATATTTAGTAATCATTTTTAGAAATTTAAAAATTTAATGCGATTCCATCAATGATAAATTTAAGGAAAATTTTAAGAATTCTAATAAAGTATTTAAATAAAATTTATAAAACTATAATATTAAACAATTAATTTAAATCACTGAACCGAAATTCCGATCACAATTATACTATAAAATTATATATTTAATTATGATAATATGCTAAATAAGTATCTTCACTTAAATGATAACTCTTATGATTTAATGATTTTATCCTGATCTTATTCTAAATATATGATTTTTTTTTGTTTTTCTTCATGTCTCAATACGTAAAAAAATTATTAGATAAAAATTAGATAGAAGATTGATCTTTTTTTAAAAAAGATTAATTTCTTCTCTTTTCTATTAAAATTTAAAATAAAATTTTCTAATAAATAAATTTTCTAATTAAATGAATTTCGTTCCAAAATAAGTTCAAATTTTACGAGAAAAATATAATAATTTCTTTTTTGGTAATTTTTGTATGACTCCGACAAAATTATGCGACAAAATCTAATGGCCTATTAAAACCACCTTTACGATTCATATATTGACGATATTTACGTTTTAATATAACATGAACTTCACCAACATCATTACCTTCAACTTTTTTATTTTTTGTAGTATCAAAATTACAAAAACCCATAGTTTTCATTAATTCAATTTCTTCGGGTGTTTTACCAGCAAAATCAGCCTCACAAAAATCTGTACGATGATGTGATTTTGACGATCTACTACCACCACCGCTACTACTACCATGATGATGATGATATGATGATGATGTTGATGGTTGGTCACGTTGATCTCTTGAACGTGATCTTGATCTACTTGAACGTCTTCTTAATCTATCGTCACGACTACGACTACGGCTTCTCTTAGAACGTTCATCACGTTCAATATCTATATTACTGCTGGTACCACCACCACCACCACGTGTTGTTTTTCTTGTTGATTTACGTTCAATTAATTCTCTTTCACGTGAACGTCTTTCACGACGTTTCTTTCTTTCGCTACGTTCTTTTTGTCTTTTTGATGACACAGAAGGTGAATATGATCGACCCATTTTTTTTTTTTTTTAGCGTCTATTTTTGTAAATTTTTCGTTCAATGAAAATAACAATAAAAAAACTAAAAAAAAAATTTAACAAAAATAAAAAAACAAAAAAAAAATAATAAAATAAAAGAATCTTCTTATATTAGGACACCAGAATGATTTCGTTTCTTATTTCTGAATCCAATTATCCCGATCATACATTAAGACCATTTAGATTTGTCGCATATAGAAATTCTAAATGAAATAAAAAAAATAGAAAATGAAAAAATATTAAAATTCTGTTGGAAAAAATGAAAAGAAAAATATAATTTAAAACTGGAATTTATTAATTTAGTACGACAGTTAAATATTAAATCATCAAGTTTAATTTTTTATTTCAAGTTTATCATTAAATTGTATTAACAAACAATCACAACCCCTTCCAGATTTTTGAAAAAATATCATATCATGAACAAGAAATGATAGACACCTACATCATATTCATATAGAAAATATAAATAAAATTTAAAAAGGTAAATATCAAGTAAAACGGAACAAAAATATTATTAGTGAAACACACAAAAAATACAAATATATTCTAAAACTATCAATACAGTTCAATAAATATAGTGATAACTTCCATATTTCAAAAAAAAAAATACTTACCATATATTTTATAAACCCGTAGTTTCATTTATATTAATTCTCTATAACATTAAAATTTAAATAGCTATTATTTTTCTTCTATTATAAATTATAATTTGTGGAGAAGTAAGGTACTATGTATTTGCAAAAATTTACTTTTCCACAAATTATAATTTATAATAAGAATATAGTTAATTAATGAAATTTTTGTAAAAAAAACAGCACAATCAGTTCTCCAAACCGAAAGAAAAATTATTTTTATAGTACCTTTTGTATACAATTAAGTAACTATATGAAATATTTATAAATATTTTAATGATGTTAAAATATTTCTTGATTTTGCCAGATAAAATGGTATATAATTTAAATATAAATTAAATAAGATTTTTAAGATTTAAATTTAAGAAATTCAAATGCATATCCGAATTATCGAAGACCTTAATTGTTTGAAATTTCTAAATTAAATCACAAATTTTTAATCATTTACCAAAAAAAAAAATATGGAAAATTATATTCTTACTCCGTTAAGAAAATTTTTAATCTTTCAGTCCCTTTCAATCTTATAAAAAACTTAAAGCACCAAAAGTGATCTTTTAAATAGTTGATAGAATAAAATTATCAATATTATTAAAAAAAAAAATATAGAAAATTTATGTAAAAAAAAAATTTAAAGCAAGTCTTAAAATTCTTCACTTAATTTTCGTCGTAAAAACCAAATTTAATAACAATTAAAGTACAAAAATAAATAATTTTGTTTCCTTTAGGTCTAATGTAGATTTGTTTACAATTTTTCCACTTTCCAATACTATAAAAATCTCAATTAAAACAATATGAATGTAAAAAAATAATAAAAAATTTATATTAGTTTTGTTTACACAAGCTAAAATTAAAAGCTAGGATTGATGATAAATAAAATTGCAAAATATTTTATTACAATTAATTTTATTTAAACAATAAAATACATTTTATTTTTACTTTTTTTTTTCTTAATTTCATTTTACTTGTTGGTTTTTTTCCACGGTTTCATTTAAAATCTATTTATATTTAAATTTCATAAAAAGTATATGAGCCAAAAAAATATCCTTAATTAATTTGCTTATTTTTGTAATTTAGTTTCTTAATTTAATATGTTTAACTATAATAAGTTTTCGTTTTTCTAATGTCTAATATAGAAAAGGATTAAATCTAGAAGAAAAAAAAATAGTCGATTTGTTTTTTTTTTTTTTTTCAATTTACTTTTTACTATTTTAATTACCAATAAAAATCTACCCTAATGTTCTCATCTATTACACTATATTACTTTCTATTTTTATAAGATAGTCATTACTGTAAAAAAAAAACTTATTACAAAATTATTAAAGTTAATTAAAGTCGAATTTATTTTTTAGAAAATTATTTTTTTTTATAATTGTCTTAAAAAAAACTATATGTAATTCAATATTATGCCAAACTACAATTAATTAAATTATGGCGAATATTTCGACAATTATATTATAAATATAACAAAATTAAAAAAACTAAAAATTCTTAGAACAAAATTGAAATCAATTTAAAAATTAAATTTTGTATCAATAATTTGTAATTATAAAACTCTAATTCTAATTTTATTTTATTATTTATTTAAAATTTTTTTTTTAATTGTAATTATTTCTTTAATTTAACGTCATCTCTTAATTATTAAAATTTTAATTTTCTTTTTCATTTTGACCGTCTTTTATTGATTCAATTTTAGCAACAATTTTCAATGCAGGACCTAATTTCATACCCATTGTATTTACCAAATGATTTTCATTAAGTAATAATAATGCAGGACCATCAATTTCTTGATTTGCAAATTCCTCAGCATAGTCACCAAAACCTGGTAAATTTTTAATAAAATCACAAACATCATTTATTGTCCATCGTTTTAATGGACTTTCATCTTGATTGTTTGACGAACTATTGTTATTGCTATTATTGATGTTATTATTATTTGAATTATTATTGTTACTGTTGTTATTATTACTAGTATTATTATTATTATTGTTATTATTATTGTTATTATTATTAGTAATATTTTCAGTTGAATCAAATAATTTTGAACTTTCACCAATAGTATTAGTTATATTGATATTCTTTATTAGATCGTCTTTATTATGCTTTTCATCATTATAACATTTACCATCTAAATCATTATTACATTCTGATTGAATTTTACCATCGGATAAAATATTTGCATTCGATGATATACAAATACATTTTTTAGTACTACCACATGTTGAGCATTCATCATTATTATGAGATTTTGAATCATTTGTTAAATTATCATCTAAATTCATTTTCTTTGATGGTGGTTCTTCAACGGTATCTCTTTCAGAATATCGTGTTCTTGCAACAGAAAATGGTTCTTTACCTTCTTGAATTACAAATCCTTCAATAACATGTGTTAAAACATTAGGTTTTATCATAGCTTTTGGTAGTTCTCTATCACTTTTTGGTAAACCTTTTAAATTTAAAGATGGTTTTAATAAATTTTCATCCAAATTATGTTTTATTGTAGATGATTCAGTTGAATGTGAAATAACATCTGAAGTAGTACATTTATTATCAGTATTTTCTTCTAAATTTTCTTTATTAGAATTAGCATGAATTTTATTTTCTTCATTTTTGTTATCTTTTACCAACTTAATTGTTTCCTCTAAGCTTTCAGAGACAATTTCATTTGACTTTTTAGATTCTATAATTGAATCAACAGCCTGACTTCCCGATATTTCAGATATTTCACTTATGTCACTATATTTAAGATTATTTACTTTTAAATTTGTATTTTGATCTTGTGATGAAATTGCGTCAGAGACTTGTACATTGGTAATAGAAGCAACTGTTACAACTGGTGTGGTTGTTGCACTACTGGTTATTGAATTCGTTGGCAGTGAAGTAATAAAGTTCGTTTGAGGAGTTATACTTACTGAAGAAGATATGGCTATTGGCATGTTTGCAGTAGCATTTGAATGCGACGTATTAATACAAATTTGTTTTTCTAAATTCGATAAAATCTTATTAGTCGAATTTTGTGCAGATTGCTGCTGTGTTGCAACAAATATCTGATTCAATATGTTGGCCGACTGTTGCTGTTGTTGATGTTGTTGTTGCTGATGTTGCTGTTGGATTTGTATTTCGCGCTGTTGTTGCTGATGTTGCGACTGTATGCAAACATTATTTTGAATTTGCGGCGATTGTGTAACGTAAGTATTTGAATTATTTTGAATCGAATTTTGTTGCGTTTGAATTTGTGGCTGTGAATTAAATTGATTTGCCGAAATCGGTTGTTGCAACTGAATTTGTTGATTTGAATTCTGTTGCAAAATAAGCTGCTGTTGTTGCATTATTGCTTGTTGTTTAATATGCTGCTGAATTTGTTGAGACTTATCAGTCGCACTAAAATTATTTTGTGTATTTATACCACTTTGAAGTACAGGACCTCCAGTACTAACAACGACCATTTTATTTCCCATCGATGTCACAACTTGTTGCATAGACTGCTGTTGCAAATTTTGTTGCTGAACTGTTGCCTTTAAATGAGATGTGACATCCGGCTTAATATTTGATAATGCTGGGCGAACTATATGCTGTTTAGTCTTTTTGATTGATTTTTGAGTTAATAAATTTTGGTTTTGCGCAGTCTGTGTTGAAACGTTACTAGCGGGCTTATTAGATATAGCGTTTTGTGGTAAAATTAATGGGGCTCTAGGTTTACTATTTAAGTTATCAATTTGTGGTCTCATTTGCGTAGCAGCTTGAGGAACTGTACACGACATTGTAATATTTTGATGATTTGTCTGCTGAGTTTGAATAGTTTGATTTGGAGCTGCTGGTTGTAAAAACATACCTGGCGTGCCATCCGGTTGAGTTCCTCTTATAATAAATTGATTTGGAATTGACAGTGTTTGAGGTTGAATTCCAGTAGCCCAAAATGGCTGAACGCTCCACGGAATTTGCATCGATTGCTGCGTGGTTTGTTGTGGCAACGGATTTATGACTTGGGCCGTTGGCATTGCTTGCGATACCTGAACACACTGTTGGCTTGTTTGGATATTTGTATTTTGATTAGTATTCATATTTTGAACATTTGATATTGTCGAAGTATTAAGTTTCTGAACAACCTTTTGATTTTGGATATTTTTTTGCAAATCTTGCTGAGTATTTTTATTGCTATTTGCTTGTCCAGATATATTTGATAATATATTTTGTTGTTGTTGTTGGGATCCTATCACATTTACTGGACTAAAAACTAGAGCTTGTGATTGTGACGATGGTATTCCTGGTATAGTATAAGAACCGCTTATATTTGCAGTATTACCGCTAATCATAGGTTTATTTTGAGTGGTTATCATTTGAGATGTATTTCCTGTTATGGGCTTACCAGCTGTAATTATTTGAATAGGCTGCTGGCTTAGTCCAGTATGTATTATGTTGCCAGGCATTAAAACTGGTGGGTATGCTAAATGTTGAAGATAAGCTTGATTTGATAAAGATGGTTGCAAGAGTTGCAATCGCCCAGTACCTCCCCACTCATTTGGATCCGTTTGGATTGCTTGTAATGGAGACATTGTACTAATAGTTGTCGTGTGATTCCCAATGTTAGAGTTATTGGAACCATGATGTGGACTAATTGGCGGTCCTTCTATTATATGCATTTGTTGAATTTGGTTTTGACTTTGATCTACTATTGGATACTTAATGTCTGCCGTCATAGTGTTAGCATTTGTCATTTGATTATGATTTGGTGATTCTTGCTTCACTTGAACTGCAGTAAATTGTTGCTGAAACTGCATTTGTTGCAGTTTTTGCAACTGTTCCTGTGAAATTTCCAGTTTTGCAAATTAGACTAACCTCTCCAAGTAAAAAAAATTTATATATTAAGCAATTCGATAGGTTTTGCTTTATTAATCTTTAGCTCGTTATAAAAAATTGTTGATTTGATTAAACTTATATCAATGCAACAAATTGATTTCACGTTTACAGTTTCACTTAAGTATCAAAACTTTTTTTCTTTTTTTTTAAAACATGAACATAAATATTAATGTTTGCAAATATCTCCAATTTCTGATTTAGTAATTAGTTTTTTTATAAGGTAAAATTCATAAATAAATAAACAACAAATTGCAATATGCAAAAAATTTGTTATAGCTATTATTACTCAATATGTAGATAAAAATCAATAATTTCGTCTGCTTGCATCTGTAGTCTTACACCACACAATTGCAAAGTTTGAAGAATTCAATTTCACTGTATATAATTGTTAATAAAAGAAAAGTAATTTCAACTCTTAAGTATTCTGGATGTAATTATTTAAAAGTCTATTAAAATAAATATCTTGATAATTATTCCTTGATTTGCACATATTTAATGTAAAATTAAAATTGTAGAATCTAGACAACTTAATCAAAATGCTAATTTCATAAATGCAGAAATGCATTTAAACATGGAACTATAGCATCTAGTTTTGTTATCAGCAAACAGCTTATAATAATTTTTTATTTAAGACACTAATAATATTCTTAATTTAAACTATTTTATTCTAAATAATTATTGAATAAAACTTTTAAACAGACGCGCGCTTGACATTAAATTTAATACTTTTAAAAATTCACCCTTTTAACTTAAACGCCATTTCATATTTTGAGTGCGCGTTCAAAAATTCTGCAAAAATATATATTTATCTCTTTTTTGCGCACATATAATTGACGTTTACTACATTGTGTATAGGATTATTCCAAATTTGACGTTTTAAATTATGATTACTTAGTTTTTCTTTTTTCAAATGTAAATAAACAAAATTTTGATATCTATGCCTGGCAAAATAAAAAAAAAAAAAGAAATTATGTTTTAAGCGGTTGACCAACAAGAAGTATTTCGAAAGATTAAGGATGTTTTTTTAATACTAAAGTTATTTATATTTTTGGTTATAGAAAAAATATCTCAAAAACTCGCATATCAGCAAAAAATAAACAATTTTCCTAATTAAATTTACACAAAATCTTCCAAAAAAAATTCAAAATATATGAACACATATATTTATTAGCTCATATTATGAATGCACGTGAAATTTTAATAAAAGCTTGTGAATTTGATAAAGCGGGCAGACGTTTAGAAGCATTTAATTTATATTTTGATGGAATTCAAATACTAAATGATTTAGCAAAAGGTAAAAATTTACTATAAAAATCATTAATGTATACATGGAAACTTTTTTCATAAAAAAATAATTAGCTGAGAAAGATGAAGCTAAAAAGCAGCATTTTAAAGCAAAAATTGAGGAATACATTAACCGTGCAGAACATTTAAAAAAATCTATTCAAAGAAATTGTACAAGGGGAGAACTAGTTGAAAGAATACTTATTATGGAGGGTGCAACAGGTCACAGCTACAAAAGTTTATTTGGAAAATATTTAACTAATGACGTGAAAGAAATAGAAATTGCTGAAACGTATTTAAGGGAACATTATCAGGTCTTTTTTTTCCTTTTTTGTTTTATTGGAATTTTCCTTATTTGTTCAATTTAGTTCCAGAATTTGATCATTTTTTTAGAACTTTGTGTTAAAAAATGTAGAAATCTAAAATATGTAAAATTAACCACTAAAACAGATCCAAAACCAATGTCGGATCAAAAAAAAAATTTGGAAGCAATTCAAAATAGTTTATTGTCCAAAGGTATTACATTGGCAATTGAGTTTTCTGAAACACTTCATGACCGCGAAATAATGTATGTAAACCTTCTTCGTTTCACTAATTTTTAGATTTTACATTAATATATACACAAATATTTTTCTCGTTTCAGATTAAATACTGGTTTTATCATCAAAATAGGAAGAGGGTTGCATTATTTTAAAGCACCAAATCCAAAATATTCTTTAGGATTATGCGATTTTGATTTTAGAGAATGCTTTGAAACAACTGCCGATATTTTTAAATGTACACTATAAATAAAATAGGTTTCTATAAAATTTGATTTTTTATTTCCCTATTAACATTAAAAAACACATAATTAATGCAAAAAACTCTTGGTTTTTTTTTTTAAATTTAAAAATTTCAATAATTTCTTGCTAATGAATTTTAGTTTTCTTAGCAACTATTTAATAAGGATTTCTCATTGAGAAGCAGTTAAACAAATTGATACAAGGTCAAGGATATTATGTGCATTTATCACAATGTGCATAAATATGTACATACACACATATACATATGTTTACTCAACACAGCACAGATTAATTTTTATGTAGTAAACAAGATTTAGAAAATAAATTCACTATAAATGGGCGCGCAAGTTTGTATTTTTTTTCTCAATTAATAACACTTTCAACACGTTAAAACCGTTTTAACGAAGAGATAAATTGAAAATATATGATAATTTCTTAAAAATTTAATACATTACCAAAAAAAAGTATAAAAATTTTTTCCTTAAAAAGATCTCCTTACTATCTACTTGTTAAGAAAAAGTTACAAGACTACATAACCTAAAAAATTTTTTTCTACTTTAAATATGTATCTTGAAAAATGACAAACCTTATACATAACAAATATATTTATCTCTTTTTCTTACACATGTTTTGCGAAATAGACGTATAATGTAATTATATGGCCATTTTTCTGAACATGCGTTCAGAAAAAAGAACTGTCAGAAATGGGATATTAATAACTTTTTTACTTTACAAAACACAGAGTCGATTTGCAATGAATCAATTTATTGTCTGAGTAACTCACATATTAATGTAACAACATGTTTTGTACTTTTCTACACATAATGAAAAAATAAAGTTTTTCAATTTTAAACACTTTTTCTGAAATGTTAAAAGTCTGGATACTACTTCTGACATTAAATTAAAAAAAAAAATCAAATGGAATATGTTTGTCAAAACTAGTTTGACATATTTTACACCTTAGCAAAACTGATAGATTTCAATTGTTTTTCATTTCTCGTATGAATTTTTCTGTTTTATAATAATATTTCTTTCCTTTTTCATAAATAAAATTATGCAATAATAAAAAATATATATAAAAACTATCTTTTGGGTAGAAGACAATTGCGTGCGTTAATTGACGTAATGAAAAACTATTACTTGTGTTACAACAAATTTGAAAATATCGATGTATTCGCGTATCAATATATGGTCCATATAGTGTCACTGACGTGCGTCCAACCATCAACTACTCAACTTGGCCTTCTTCAATGTGTTGAAAACATAGCAAGTTTCCAATTCGTTGAATCGTTGTTTGGTAAGTTTGAAACTTTGTTAAAGAAAATATTATAAAATATGTATATTGTATAAAGACTTTGTGTATATGAAGAAGTTGAAGTATGATTTGGTATGTTGATCAACTTTTTTTAACTTAACCAAACGTGGAATGCATTATGACATTATAAATGTCAAATCACAAATTTAAATCTTACTTTTATTGGTCAAGTAATAATTGACTTAATTGCACTTAATAATTAAATAATAATTGACTTAATTGCAAGTTATCGAAAAAAAATTTACGTTTAAAAATTTTATTTTACAAAAATTTTGGTGATTTTCCTAGTTTTTTTCAATTAGCACAGTATCAATTAACACAGTATTTCGGCTACTCGATTTTTAGTAGCATAAACGTTTAAAATTTTTGATATTATTTGCAAAAAAATTTTTGACTGAAGTACTTTTTACATATCATACAATATCTAAGATTAAATCTACGATAAAATCTGATGATTTTTTAGGTATCAGACTAAAATTATCTCAGACTTCACGTCAAAATTTAACAATAATATCCTAAGAAAATTATAAAAAAAAAAAAATCGGCTGCTCGATGCTCAAAACTTTCACAACAAACTAGATTTGAAAAAACTGAAAACGTGAAAAAAGAGTAATTATAATTTTTTCCGTTGCATACAATTTGATGTCAAATCAGGCTTATGTATACGACTTTCATCAGATTGACGAAAATATTTTGTAACTTGTGATTTCTGATTTTAAAAATGAAATAGAGCTTATTTCGCAAATTTTTCAAAAATGAAGTGTCAACAGAACATGAGCTCTTTGAATGCTAATAATTTTTTTTCGTGCACTCTAAGCATTCTAATATTTCCAACGCAACGTATTTTTTTATTTTGTAATTAGAAAAATTATATCATTAATAATGAACTTTGTCCCGTTACGGGTTTTTGACATTAATTATTTTAACATATACTTGCTTATATTATATCTTAAAAAATAGCTCAATTATTTTTTAATCTACTTATTATTGAATAGAAAATCCATTCTTTTATTTTATTCGCATGAAAACATATTTAAATAAATAGTATACTTAACTATTTGATAGCCCAAGCCAGAGTGAGCGTTTTTTTTTCTTATTGACAGCTTACTATAGTATTTAATACTGAAGTAAAATCTTGGAATATAGATGAATTCACAACTAAGTTTTTTAGACGTAAAAAAAACTTTATCAATTTTTGAATGTGTAAAGCAAAAAATTTGGAATTGTTAAAAAATTAATTTTTTTTTGTTCTGTTGAAGTACCATACGAATATACAATACAATAATAACACAATACAGGTGAGCGTTTAAAAAATTCACTGTTTCAATCAAGTTTCAATATAGTTTGATAAAATAAGCGATAAGTCAGATAACATAAAACGGGAAAATCCCAGTTATAAATATATGTAAAGCTTAAAAGTAACAGAGTAATTCAAACAACAAAGAAAATTTTGCAAGTTATTTGAAATTTTATATTAAGAATGTCGACTGTATTAATCAGAGATTTTGCAAGCGATGTAAATAAAAATATTTTACTTCGTATTTTCTCTAAATTTGGTAAAATACAAAACTGCAGCGTTGTCAATGGGGGAGGAAGCGCTAATTTACACGCTTATATTAATTTTGAGGACATGGAATCTGCAGAGGCAGCTGTTGAAAATTTCAATGGTAAAGCCGTTCTCGGTTCCTCCAATTTATACGTTGGAATCGCTAAAGTTAAAGGTGGGCAGTCATGCTTTGGACCAGGCAATATTTTTGTTAAAAATCTGGATAAGAACATAAATGAGGAAAGTTTAGAAAAAGAATTTTCAATCTTTGGTAAAATTGCATCAAAAAAAATTATTAAGAGTTGTACTGGTGATTCGGAAGGTCGTGCGTTTGTTTGTTTTGAAAGTGTAGATGATGCTATAAAGGCAATTGCAGTTATGAATAACAAAGTAATTGGATCAAACACAATTTCGGTAGAGTTTTCTAAATGCCAAAATAAAAAAGAAAAACAAATTCGAGAGGATCATATTAAAAAATTAATGGAAAAAGAAAATCTATGCAATGATATTCAAGCTGGTAAAAATAATGAAGCATCGGGTTCTGAAGACAAAAATACGAAATGTGAAAAAAAAAGTAGAGCGAATACAAGAAAATATAGAAAACTAAAAGAATTCAGATTACGTAAAAATTCGTACTGTTCTAGAGAAAGTTCATCTGAAAATAATTTGAAATTTAAAATCGAAAGTGATAGTTCAAGTGAAATTGAAAGTTCATCAAGTGAAAGTGAAAGTTCAAGTGAAGTGTCATCCTGTAAGGAGAAGAAAAAATCGAATCACATAAGAAGTGAGCTATTTTCAGATGCTTTTGATGATCTGTCACAAGAAGAACAAAAGACCCTTCTTTACCAGTTATTATTACCTCAAACGGAACGTTTATATCCCGAAATAGGAGATCAAATATTAAAAAAATTAATTTTAATAGACAATTCAGAACTAATGAAAATGTTTGAAGATAGTACACTTCTTAAGGCAAGATGTGATGGCATTGCAATGGTTTTCAAACTAAAGAATGCAAAAATTTTTAACTCTAAAAGAAATTGAATTTTCGGTAGTTTTATGTTTTTTTCTTTTTTTGTGACTATGTCCAAAATTTTTATATGTACTTAAATATCTTAATATGTACTTAAATATGTACTTAATAATATCGTGATAATAAAATATAAATAAAATCTTTTTAAAGTGTTTGAATTACAAACACGGCTGACAGAAATGCCAAGATTACAAAAGATAAGCGTCAAAGCTTTGTTGCTAAAGTGAAAATTTTATTCCACAATCGAATATTTTTACCGAGAAAATAAAAAATGTTTGAAATTTTCTGAAATATGTATTCCAATTAATTCACTTAAAAAGAAAGTGGAAGACATATTTTTTTTCGAAAAATTACCCAGCTGCAATGAAATATGCTTTTGGCTCCAGAACGAACAGGTTTTTCTACATAACACGAAACTTCTCTACATAATTTTTCTATCTTCAAAGAAATAATAATTTGTGACCCCCCAAACTCAAACGAAGTGTCGACTTTATTTACGCAGAAATTTTAACGAAACATTAATTCCATTTTGCTTTGTTTTTACTCCATTAGCATTAGGATCTTTAAATTGCTTTTATTTTTTCTAAAAAATAAAAAGATTTTCTTTGTATTGAATACTGAGGGTTGTTGGTAATCTTTTCAATTTGAAATACTATGGATATATAAGATTATCAGAATTATAAGTATGTTCTAATGGATGTTTTACTTTTCCAATAAGATTACTAATTTTTTTAATTGGATTTTTGCATTTTTTAAAATTTTTCAAATCATCGAGCGAATGTTTCACTTTCAAAAACAAAGTGGAGAACTTTTGTATACAATTTAAAAAAAAACGGGATACGCAATCGGAATAATTCTTCTCATTCGAAAATTACATTATACAGGTACATGATAGTCACTTTTTTCTCAGTAAGTGTAATTTTTTCATTGACCTGGCCAGAGTTTTAATCCGAGATCCTTCGGCTAAAAAAGCGGTTTAAAAACCGCTTTAAAGGCGCAAAAAATCTAAAAGTGTTTGAAAAAAAAATCTAGCTGCTTTTTTTAAACTTTTAAAATGTAGTGTTGCAAGATGGATATATTTGACTCGTTTTATGTCAAACGTATGTGAAGTTGGTGTCGAAAGATAAACTGTCAAATAATTATTTTGAGACTTATCAACTTTGATTTTTTAAATTTTAAATTCGTTTCATAATACAAATATAATACTTTATAAACTTTTTGCGCTGGAGCATTCATGTAACAATAATAAATTTGAAGGCGACTTAGTTGTAGAAACAGAACCAAAGCGGTGACAGTTAATTATTCAGTAATTTGTATATAACTTTATTACCACCCGCAGTTAAATTCTCGACGGTAATTTCACTTGATTCTAGACAATCGCATATCTGTTGCAACATATTCGGTTAATAATAAATATGTCTAATAAAGTTAGAACTAAATTTCATTTCATTATTCTCATACAAGTAGATTCATTGGTTTGCTTGTTTCGCAACGAGCTGATGTATTTTGCGTGGAAATTTGACATTTTGACACTTTCTTTTTCTTTGTGCCAATTTTTTGCTCTCTCTCAAAAAGTTGAATTAACTTTGACTTTATTTTAATTAATATGTCAAACAGTAGACGTTCAGTATTGTTTTAATTTAAATTTGGACAATGAAATCAAAACTACATATTAAAATACGAAAAATTTTAAAGTTTGAAGTGCTGCCCCACTGTGTTTAGAGCATCAAAATTAAAAGATATAATTAAAAAGTTTCTGCGCTAACGCATTATGAATTTATAAATTATAGATAAAAATTATAGTTATTGTTGAATAAATAAATATTATAAAAAACTAAATATACTAGATGTTCATATTGCCAAAATAATATATATTGGATTCAGATACTCAGTTTTTCCTCACGTGGGAACGCCACATTTTTACATTGAGTGTAATGCACCACTTGACTTGTCGATCTCCCCAAACTGATTTAATTTTATAATTAAGTCTATTATATGTTCATATATAAGTCTATTATATGTTCATATAAACGTTGCTTAACTTGAAGCCCTTCAAAAAATTTTGCTTACTGACTTGCAATGTCATTCTCCAGAATAACAGAACAAAATTTTTGATCATAAATTAGATTTATACATAAGTAGTTCACATAAGGTGACAAATGAATTCAGGGGTGATCCTTTGATCAATTTCCAGAAAAAAAATTTTAAGGCGGGTGGGGAGGGGCATGCAGATAAATTTGTTTTCAAGCTACAGCATGTTGAAACAAAGGATACCAGATTTTTCTGCAAATAAATAAATTGTTTAAAAGACGATTGGTCTTTACTTAAGCATTTATTGGTTTTACAATCAGTTTGATATGAGGTATACTTTTTGAGATAGGCTCGTCAAAGTCAGCCTTTTTGGTTTTTTTGTTTGAAATTTTTTTTTAAACAACTTGAAATTTCTCGAAAACTTTTGTTTTTTTCTTTTTTTTCGATGTACTACGATGAAAGCTAAAAGTTAATCCATATAACATTTTACTCTATCTCTTATAGTTTTGCCAGAAAAATGTGTTAAAGGCGTTTAAAAAATATGCGAACAGTGCATACATTTTATACAAGTTCCATTATACATATACAACATACTTAAGTAATATGTTCATGATTTGTATGTATGTATTATAAAGTGATGAGCTTTCAAGCTGACTAATAAAAAAGCAGCTTGAGCCTCGAGGGAATTTCAAATCAGACATTCAAGCCGCCTTATAAACGAGATGGGCATTTCTTCAAAAAATATCGTATTTATTAACTTTTGTTTTTGAAAGATCGAGAATTTTAAATAACTTTTAAAGGTAAAATTTTAAAAAGGCGTTTTATTATTTATAAAATATTTTTTATTTTTCTTATCAGAAAATTATATTTTTAGGGTGACAAAATTTCTTTTGGCGATGAAGTATTCTAGAAGGATGGAAAAATTCAATCTAAATTTCTTTTCATTTTCGGAAAGAAAATATTTTTTGTGCCGTCAGTTTAATTTTATGTTCGTTATCACACCTAGTGTTTGTAATACGTACTTTCCACATGTACGATTTGTGGTGTTATTTACAGTACTGGGAAAGTGCAAGCGTTTTGAAATTTAAATAATTTTACAAATCAATAAAGTTGGTGAGACGCGGTGCAGCGTACTTTAATCCAGGTTAAAATTTAAATTACATACTATTCAATTTATTTAAAAAATATAAATCCTTTTTACTTTAAGATAATTCAGCAAAAAACAACGCATAGGAATATTTTAAAACCGGCATTAAAGAAATACTAATATATTTACATATGTATGTCGCTGATAAAAGTGAAGTTTTCTTGCGATGTAGATGACGATGTTTTAATATCAAAGTTCTTATGATTTGGTCACATGTTGCGATGCACAATAATACAGGATAAAGAAGTTAATTCCAAAAAACTTCGATTGATAACTTTTCAGTATAAAGGCTCGGCAAAAAATCAATTCTTGCATTGAATAAAAATAAGGAGCACGCAATTTTTTTTGTAGGATTTCCAATGAATCAACGGTTGCAAATTTCTGTGATGCAAACGTATGTACCTACATATGTATATGTAAACCATTTATATGAAAATATTCAGGGATTTAGTTTGCAATGAAAATTTTTTTTTGGAGTTCAGTGAAAATTTTAGAAACTTATAATAAATCTAATGGTCTAGTATTTGTTTTTATTAAGTTGAAGATGCATTTGCAGCTGTAATGGTTATGAACGGGAGAAAAATTAGGTCGCAAACGATTTTTACAGAATTCGGTAGGAATGTCAGTGAAGTAGATAAAGAATTGCGAATGCTTCCTGCGGAAAAGTTTTTATAGCGGATTGAAGTTGAAAGGAGCGGATATTTGAGGTTTATCTAATCATCTGCTTTTAAAAACATCCGAATTCAATTGGCAACCAAAAATTTAAAAAAATCAATTCGTATGAAAGAATCAGTTGCAAGTGATGTTACAACATTGAGAAATAAACCTGATTATTGCTAAATTTAGAATCCAACAGTATTAAAAATTAGTAAGTGATTATGAAAGCCACTAAATTTCACTATTTTTTGTTATCTTAATGTACTTGAGAATATTGAAAATGTCCTTAAAATGTATAGCAATCGTTTAATTCGTTTTAGTTTACGTAAAATAAGATTTCGGAAAATTAAAATATGTAAATATTTTTATTTACTTCTGGCAATGGGACATAGAAAAAGTACAAGAAACAAAAAATAATAAAAACAATTAACAACAAGAATGACATCAAGTCTTATGGAAAGAGAAAAAAATAAAAGTTGAAAACGAAAATTTCAACAAAAGAAAAAATAATACAAAATAAAAGCATTCCTGAATCTTCCTCAAGGACAAAAGTTGTAAAGAAAAACTAAACAGTTTTACTCTAATACTTAAAGCATGAACAGAAAAAAAATGGCATCTTTAAATGGCATGGAAGAAAATTAGTGTAGCGACACTTGGACATTATTTATTACAATTGTTAGAGACTTGAACTATCTATAAATCTTCGTGCTGTTGCTGCAGTATTTTTGTTTCGTCTTTTTTCTTTTTTTTTCTGTTTCCACTTTAGTGATCTTTTTAAATCCCAATTTTTTTTTTTGCCTTCTATTTTATTTATTAATATGTATATTATACAATATATAAATAAATATTTAGATATGCGTGTATGTATCAAGTATTACATGTTTTGAAATAAAAGAGTTATTTAAGAACTTAGTTATAACAGAAATTTGCAAAATGTTCTCATTGTTATGTATTATGTACCACAAAAAATAATATATGTATATGCGTACTTACATATATGTGCATATATAAAGCAAGTGTTTTTAACAAATTTAACAAAAAAAGAGAAAAAAAAATATTTTTATTAGAGTCACAATGTTTGTTAGTCCGTCTATACGCCTGCCG